AGATATCAATCAATTATCAAAAGCTTCATTTCCATTTTCATTTCCAGCTTCATCTTTTTGTCTTGATTTAATAAAATACATTTGGATTAACTAAATGGTAAACAGTTTTTTTATTTTAAGTATACATGATACAAACCTCAACAATTTCTTGCAGTGTCTTTTGGGATAACGGTAACTATAACGGCAGCGATAAGCAAAAGGGCTCAGCGAGCGACAAGCGACTTGTTTATTTTTGCGCCCATTTTTTGTCACACTTTCGTCTCGCTCTAAGTGTCTGTGAGTGTGTGTGTGTGAGTGGGTGTGTGTCTGTCTATTAAAGAAACATCTGGCAGCAACAACTCTCTAAGCCACGCCCCAGGGCAACAGCTTTCATTTTAAGGCAGCAGCAACAATTGTGCGACTCTCTGCCTGGATCACATTTCATTTTCGCTTTTTTTTCCAAAAAGACAAATGCAAACAAATGTTGGCGTCTTATTAATGGGCGTGGCCAGCTGCATTGAGGCAACATCAAAAATTAGCGTGCCTAAGCCTTAATTTTGCCAAAGAATGGGCCACAGCAAGTAGAGAGTGCTCCATTGTTCCCTTGTCCCATTTCCTCCTTTGCTGGCTTCGTTTTCATTCTGGAGTTGGCCACTTGAACCCGGTCGAGCCTTTGTTCAAACAAACCGTAAGTCACCGCCGCAAAGGCAGCCGGAAGCGGGTCCACTAAAGGCTGCTGGCGAACAGAAGCAAGGCAAAGGATTGGGCGGCAGGACCTACTTGAAAATTCGGTTAACTGAAGCTTGGCCAAATGCGGCTCCCCCTTGCGCCTTTTGTTGCCCTCTGTGTGCATTGCGTTGAATGCGTTTAAACACTTTCGACAGTTTTTTCTCAATATTCTCGGGCGAACCTTCACTTTAAATTAACATAATTTGTATTTCACTTGACTTTTCTTTGTGTCCGTGTGTCTGTGTGTGTGTGAGAGTGTGTTTGTGAGCTGAACCTCTTTCGATTTTAATAGAATGTAACGCGCTTTTGTTTGCTGATTATTATAAGTTTTCTTATTTTATTATTATTTTTTTTTTTTTTTTTTTTTTTGTATTTTTATTTCTTGGCCCTTTTTATTGGCAGCAATTCAATGGTGAACCTGGGTCCGCGCATTAACCCAAATGGCTGCAATTCAAAGTAATTGGAGGAGCAGGATCAGCCGGCTGCTATGGATGACACTTGAAAACTTCAACTCCCCAAGCGACGTGGCTTTCATTGTGTGCGTGTGTATGTGTGTGTGTATCTGGCTGTGTGTGTGTGTGTGTGTGTTGGGGCAACATTTTTGGATTTATTCATTTGAAACTTACACAAAACTCGAAATCATAAATCTTTTTAATTTCATTGATCAACTTTTGGTGTGTTTTTTGCTCGGGCCGAGTAAACTTTTGCCTGGGCGCAAAGTTTTCACACTTCGATTCCCGCAGGACAAATTCCGCTTGACATTTAAATCGATTGGTAGATAAATATTGGACGTAAAGTCCAATTCATCGCTGCGAAATTATGTTGCTAAACTTATCGCAAAACTTCAACTTCAGCTGCTGTCCTCCGCCCCTTTATTTCTTATTTATTTAATGAATAAGCACTTTCGACTTTCCCCTAAAACTAATCGCCTCATAAACAAGCCGCAAGTTGCAATAAAAAGCGAACGCTTTTTAATGGACATTTCATGTCGTTGTCTATTTATTGTTACTTTTTTTCTTCTTCTTCTTCTTCTGTTTTGCTGTGTCCACAAGCAACACAGGCGGAAAGTTCTAATTCATAAATACACGTCCTTCGATAAAAACCAACAACAGCAGCAACAGCAAATAGTGTGGGTTCAGCAATTTAATGCGGTCTGTTGCTTCCGGTCGCTGACTTTGATTTCGATTTTGAGTTCGATTCATAGAACGCAACGTGAGCAACAAAAATTGACATGAGCGCTTGTCAGGAATTGATTTCAAAATAAATGTACGAAACATTTTCCACTTCCTGATATTGTTTTCTGCCATTCCGCTGGTATCTAAAGAAGTAGCTCAAGCTTGGAAAACTTTTACGTTGTTTTATTTTTACAATAGTAGAGCTCATCGTCTTAAGCTCTTCTTATGACAGCTTACTAGTTGCTGTGGTTGGCCTGAATCTAGAATAGCTAAGCATCTATATACAAATATATCTAGTTATTTGCTATGGCTAATATAGCTAGAGACTGAATTCGTAATGCTCAATTATCAGTTGGTCAACTCATCTACCTCGATTACTTCTGAGTCTTATATGCCCGAGTAACACTTCCTCACCAGCTCACACTCTTCTCTACCTCCTCGAAACCAATTTACTCAACGGCTATTCTCTTGCATTTAGAATAACGTTTATCTGTTGATCCTCATTGTCTTACCCATAAATCATATTTAATGCGCTATATCTGTGTAATTAAGATGACTTTGAACTACATTAGCATGCATTATATATTCAGCCGCTGGCATTTCATCAATTTAATTCCGACTCGCGCTTTTAAAATATGCAATTTTCACACAAAAGGGAATATGTGTGGGACTTTTTTTTATTATTATTTTTCCCCTCAGCTTGGCTAGCTGAATGCATTGACTGGAAATTAATTATGCGGCAAGCTGATTTTTGCCAGCCAGTCGAAGAACTAGAGGCTGATCCTAGCCATTGCCAATACGGCCGCAGCTGACCCAGTTGTTTAATTGAATTGAAGCCATAAACACTCAAAGCGAAAAGCAAAGAGGCTGGGGCCGAGCAGGGCAGGGCAGGGCGGGTTAGGACAGACCGAGACCGAGGCCGAGTGGAAAATGAAAAATTGCAGCGCCAGGATGACGACGTAGAGGACGAAGCTGATGATGATGCCGACTAGCTAAATAACTTTAATTGGAGTTGCGCGTGCGATGAACATCAATTCGTCATGCGGGCGGCGCTCGATGAAATCGGAAGCGGAAGCGGAATCCGCCTGGCCGGCCATTTTCCCCAAAGAGTTCGAGCTGCTTTGCCAGCCCTGAAAATTTGATCAACATGACAGAAACAAGCGGGCAAACATACGTTTGCCAAGTAAAAGTTGTTGACATCGTCTCTGGGCCAACACGTACTACTAGGCCAACAGAGAGTACTAAACACTTGAAGTAGCATGGATGGGAGGGGAAGGGGAAGGGGAAGAGGAAAGGGAAGAGGCAGTGGCAAGCAAATGTTTGCTTAAAAATGATGCGATGGCTGACGCTGCGACTGACAGACGCAGCTAAACTCCTGTTGACAGTGACAAAGACCATAATGAGGACAATCATGATAATGATGATGGCGATGGCGCTGACGATGATGATGATTCTGACTATGAGCTGTGGGGGCATGGCATAGTGCGAGGCAGTGTCAGCATTCGGCATTATGCCGTTGACAAATGTCATTACACTCGCTGCTGAAGTTTGCTTTGAAGTGAAGGCGGCTTCTGACTTACCTAAAGAGCGACCCAGAGACAGAGAGAACGGGACAGCAGTCGGTTATTGTTATGCCTCAAGTCACGCGAGTCGTTGGCCTCAGTCATTGACAAATGTGGCAGAAGTTTTCTTTTTGCCTTATGCTTTCTTTATTTTTTATTTTTCGCTACTTTTTGTTGCACTTTCCTTTTGGCTTTTTGTCTCACTCGCGAATTGGCCTAGTTTGTCTTTGCGTTGCCACACATATATAAATACATATGAAGATCTATGCATAAGTGTGCATGTGTGTGTGTGCAACTGTGTTTTTACACCACTCTCAGTTGAATGTGTGTGTGTGTGTGCGTCTATCCGTAGGCTATTTTGGCGCACTTGTCTGACGCTTTTGTCTGGCCAGCGTCTTCTCCCTCTCCCTCACTCTTTCTCTCTCTCCCACTGACTTTCACACACCAACAGTCAGTCAGTCACACACACGCGAGCACTTGAGAGCTTTTAACAAGTATTAGTGCTGTTAGTTAGTGGATGCGGCGAAATTAGGCAGACAGTGTCGGGGGCTCACTTACACACGAACTTTTGACCCCGTTTGTGCAACAGCAACAGCAACAGCAACTACAATAACAATAACAGCTGCTTTCGAGTCCCTTTTTTGTCTCACAACATCTCCTCACTTTGGCATTTCACACTGCACTTTGCCGCAAAGTGGGCGCCGCTTCACTGATACACACATATAAAGGAGCTCGTGGCTGTGTGTGTATGTGTGTGTTGCGTCTTTGAAGTTAGCATACTTTACATATTTTGCCGCCTGCTGATAGCTTATTGATTAAAGCGTATTCCACATTAAATTCACATCAGTTCAATTTAATATTCGCATGCTCAGTGAATCAAAATATCTACATTCGTAGCACTTTTCAATACTTTTATTCAAGCAGCGTGGCTGGCAAATTGTAATTTGTTTGATAAATGCTTTATAAACACTTTTGCAACGCACGTTCTGTTCGACGTTAGGAATGGATACAGCTGTCTCAAAGGTACCGTTACCCGTGACCGTGACGTTACTGCTCAGCCAGCGCCTCACGAACTAACGTCGCTTACGTCGAGCGCATGAAGCCGAAGCCATGGCGGCGGCAGCAGCAACAGCAGCAGCGCTAGCAGTAGCAGCATCACTTTGACGTTTGACAACACACAGCTGTGATTGGATGGGAACAGCTCTCGCATCGGCAAGGAAATTCTCTCACTTGTTTTGCTTTGGCGCCAAGCCTGTGCACGTGCCAGGCCCCAAACAGCTGTTGCGGCTGGCCGCCTCTGCGCTCGCGCTGTTGCCTCTCACTTCCACAAAGTACCACAATATGGGGATATTTGAAAGCTTCTCGAATTATAGCACTGGAAACAGCTGGGAACAGTTGCGAATAAGCCCAACAAATGTAGGAAAAGGTGCCACCCATAAAGTTTTGGCGCGAAATTCGGCGCCGCTAAAAATAGTCGAAGTAAACTTTGAAGAAACCCAAAAACAAAATCAGGGATTTTCCACCACACGATTATAGGTAAGACATAGATAGAATATATGTTTCGTCATTTCCGTTTAATTTAACTGCGCTTTATGTGTTATTTATTACACAAATACAAAAACCTAATCGCACAAAAATGCAAAACTATAAAAACGCATCCTACATGCACATCCTTATTAGTCCTTTCTATGTAAGTATTTCATTTGTATCTCCATGCTTTCAGCAGCAATGACCATCATGTCCGCTGTGATTGTGTGCGCCTCTGTGTGAGTGTTTGCTGTGATCATGCGCCGACACCTCGTCGCCTCCGTCCTTGCTCTTGGGCTTGCCGTCGTCCTCCGCCAGCTCACGCAGATCACGGCGCATGGCGTAGGCATCCTCTCCATCCGCATAGTATTTCGGCTCAACCTCGATGATCTTGAACTTAAGCGAGTTTGTGTAGAGATTGAGGGCCGCGCGATTGCTTTTGCGAACGTGCAGTGAAACGTACTGAGCATTGAAGCACTCGACCATGGCCTGTGAGGCCTGGTTCATTAGTTTCTGGGCAAGGCCGAGACGGCGATAGGAACGCTTAACCGCCAGCGAGGTAATATGTCCATGTTTACTCTCCTCTCCGGGCTCCGGCTCCTCCATCTTGGCCAGCACATAACCGACAATGTTGCCCTTGTCGTCCTCTGCCACGTAGCTCAACTGGGGCCACGTCAAGCCATGGTAGAAATAGTATTTCATTTGATAGTTCTCCGGCAAGCAAAGCAGATTGCAATGCTGCATGGTCATGAGGTCTTCGGGCTTGGCGCAGCGGATGTTCATCTTCGATCCAAACTATGTTTGTTTATGTATGTAAATGAGTCTGTTTGTGAGCGCGTGTGTGTATGTGTGCTTAGTCACGTCGCGCTTTACGTGCTCGAACGTTTTGATTTTGCTCTCCACCAACCAGCTGCGGTTCCTCCAGCTCCTCTTGTCCCAACAGTTCACGCACCAGACGAAATTTGGATAGAAATGCCTTCCAAATCAAAAACCAGCCTGAAACACAAAACAATTAATTCAAAAATATAATATAAGCACAAAGTTTAATCCCAGAGTTCAGTTTCCGCCGCCTTACCCAACAAAATAATAGCAGCTACAATACTAACGGAAGCTAATATTGTGAATATAAACGCCAGACCCGTTTGAATGGACATACTAAATATCACAAATAATCACAGTCTTTGACTTTGGAAATCGCTTGCGCACATTTATTCAGGTAGCATATAAATAAAAAAGAATTTGTTCACGTTTCCGCTTCGATTGAATGAAATAAATACTCGCTTCCAAATACAAAACAGCTGTCAGTTTATGTTTTCCAACACTGCACCCAGGGGTGCCTCACGCTGACTCCTCAAACAGTATTGAAATTCCCATTGGAATATACAAATGTGAAATATCTAAACCAGTGCCAATTACACATCAAATTTCATTTAATTACCATAAATGATGAGATTATTCGATTTCTGCAATATTGAGGTAAGTATTTTGGTGTGTGCAGCAAACTTGATTTGCGCCCAGTCACATGGAATAGCCTGAGTACGCACTCCCTTACGTTGCATCTACTTAACGGTGCTGCTGACAATAAATACTCACTTTCAAATGCAGCGATTACAATATTATGTTATTTTATAATTATAATCACCTTGATATTGTTGATATATTATAGTTTTCGCGGAGCACGCACACTTTTCCTCACTTGCTATACACCGGCACTAATTAGTGTTGAGAACTGGCCAATTCGCAATCGAGAAACAGCTGTTCACTGAAAATAAGTTGGCAGCACGTTTTTTAAATATACACAATATTAAGAAATAAACAAAGCAAAATGCAGGAATTTAGTGCGAAACGCGATGCACTCTTTGCCTGTCTCGATGATGCCAGCAAAGAGTTGAAGGGCACGGCGTTAGATCAAAGTAAATCGAAGCCGTACACAGTCGTCGCACTGGAGAAGGCCAAAAATAGGAACCCGGTAATGAATTATCGGCAGGGTCGCAGCATCGAAGCTGGCAATGAAGTCGAGGATGGGAAGCTGCGCCGCATGCGAGGCAAGGAGAGCATTTTCAAGAAGCCAGAGCTACCTATCGGGCGATGTTTGAAGCCGCGTAAGACGCCAGACTATCAAGTCAATCCACACAAATGGAAGAAATATTCACTCTCCGATGTCGACATATCCGATCAGACTAACGCAGCGGCCGCATTGTCCTTTTTAAGGCAAATGGATGCACAGCGAGATGCCGACTCAGATGGCACTGACGACATGGATGAGACAGGCACACGAACAACGTCCAAGATTGAGTTCAAAAAGACCAGCAAATTGAATCGCAATCTCAAGCAGCTGAAGGAAAGCGAGGTGGATGATGTAGAGCTGGACAAGCCACAGCTGCGCGGCTCCAAGCTGGTGATGCCCGAATATGTGATTGGCCAGAAGTCCACCAAGAAGCCAAAGAAACAACACAGCTCAAGTCAACCAAATCAACGTGCTGCTGGCAAACTACAGCTGTCCCATTTAGAAGAACTGGATGAATATGACGAAACTTAAAAGTGTTAATATAAACTAGATATAGTTATACAAAATATAGTTTGTATTTATAAAAAAATAATACATGGAGTATATAGTACTGGCAAACACGGAGGGGACAATAGAACATTAATATACAATTTAAAAAATTACAAATATTGAGACGACAAGTATAAATGCAATTCAGTCGAATGGGAATGCTTCCATTTGTGCTCGTCAATTGGTATGAGAGTATTCTAGTCGGTGAAGAAGCCTGGATTGAAGTAGAGCTTCTTATTGAAGCCCAGGTTGTCGAAGGCGCCAGTCTGCAAGTGGCCATGCCTGGTACGCATGTTGCCCACCAACGCCTGCGTCTTCTTCAGAATGTCCTCCAACGAGGTGTCGTGTGCATGCTCGGCCATCGTATCACAGAACATTTGAATATACCAGCTGCCTCTATCAGGATCCCGATGGGTCTGGAAGCCGGGCATTGTGGCATAGCACACCAAAATATCCGATAGTGTTGGCACATTGTCAAAAGGCATGCCGTCAGTTTGGACGCGCAAGCTCGTCATCCTCATGTTCAATGAATGGTTTAAATACTTTCCATGATCCGGAGTCTCGCCACGACAAAATGGAAACATTAGCACCTTGGGCTTGTGTAGCAAATGTGGACAACTTCCAGGCTGGAAGTGATTGATGATTGTCTTCACATTGCACACAGAGTTATCGCTAAAGATCACTTTGTCCACATCTTCGATGCGCTCGCCGTGCGTCATCAGCACCATGACAAAGCACTCTGTATCGCGCACATAATCCGAGCTAGTTAGTTCGTAGAGCGTTTTGAAGAACTGTACTTGATTGAGATTCTTGTAATGGAACGTCGTGAATCCAATTTCACGGAAGATGTGAATCAACGATTCACTGTCTACATCTGCACCATTTCGTTTTTTCTCGGGATCCGGGAAGTCAATGATGTTCACTATGAAGAGAACGCCACGATTTTGCTTCGACTTCATGGTGTATGCGCCCAGCACATTGTCAGTGTGAATCCGAGTAGACTTGATGACCTGGCGATTTTGGCCACTCAATTCCCCAACAAAGGGCTGCAAGGGACCATCTGCATCATTATGCAAGACCTGCAAGGGAAATTTAGTTAGCTGACAAATCCGAGGGTTGAAAGCGAAGCTACTTACGATTGGCTTACTAACACTTGGCTGATCATCGGGCGGTTCACTGACTCGATTGTCAACAATATCCGTGGATTTGTTGGAATGCGCACGACTCAACGATACGAATTCCTTGTTCGGTGGGTCGATCTCTTCTAGTATACGCAATGCTTCAATGTACTTCAAACTCCTAAGAATAGCCTTCAGCTCTGCATAGGCAGTGGGTCCACGCTTTGTAATCTTCTCAAAGTACTTTCGGCTCCGGTCTAGCTGCACCTGCTCCTCACTCTGATGTGGTCCCATAAACTGCAGAGCCTCAATGTTGCGGCGCATCACGGGCGAGAGTAGACCTCTGCGAACGGTTTCCGTCATTATAACATTGTAGTCGGTAATTCTGATAAGCTTCTCTATGTTTTTCTTAATGTGCTGGCGGTGCTTCTGCTGCATGCCAAGCTCTCGCTCTTGCACTTGATCGACCTCTCGCTCTCTCACTTCCTCCATGCTGTGTAACGATCTCTCTATATATGGAGCCTCGAGTTCGAGGACGTTAATTCTATTTTCGGTTCGTTTCGTTTCGTTTTGTTTGTTGAACGCAATGCGGACGCAGCGCAACAGGCAGTGATAATGGCAATGACAATGACAATGGCAATATCAATAGAGATGGATATGGAATTGGAAATGGAAATGGTTGACGAAATGAGTCACTTTAACTGGCTTCGCTTCACGTTGACTTCTTTTGTTCTCTTGCAAAAGTTGATCCTTATTTTTTCAAAAGCAAATTATTCAATTTATTATTGCACTTGGTGGCCAAACTATAAAATTAGCTAAGTCTTATGCTCTTTGATAAGATTTCATTTGAAACAAAGGGAGTTAATCATCCAACTTTGCTGGCAGTGGCTGCGGGCAGTGCAATCGCGCGTCCGTTCACTCTCGCTCGTATTCTAACACTGTTCGCTGTTTGCGAATCACACTGTGCAACAAAACGCTTCAGCAAAAATGAGTAATTCATTGTGACCAAATTTGAGTTGAATCTGTGCATAATTTGCTAGCGTATGCCTATGGTCACTTCTATAATAATTGATTTTAATTTAAAAACATTTAGGAATATGTAAAACATACATAATCGGCTTTAATTCTGCCCAACATTTATTAGAATATTGGTATTTAGTGATACTGTGATGCAGCGACCAGGGCTGCATAAACGAGTGGGCAGTTCCAATGCGCAACAGCTGTTCGGCGTGCAAACAGAAGTGAATTTTATAATTCTATAACATGGATCAGAATATACCCATTAAAACGGACATTGATGATTCAATCAAAAAGAAATCTAACAATATCGTTCCAAATTATCTCAAACGCATCGTATTCGACTATTTACAGAAACATGGCTGTACGCATGACAATTTGGTCGCCGTTGCGAGGGCAAGGCGAAAAAATCAGGAGCGTGCGATAGGTAAAATATCGAGCATTTGCGTCTTGTTCAGCTGAGTAATGAAATTATTATATGTATGTATATAGAGTACATATGCAACGCCTGCAAGGATGCTGAGGTGCGTGTGAATCATGAATGTGATTCGGTTAGCCTAAGCCACATAAATCAATGGCTAGAGGTGTTAAACAATGCGGAATTGTCGAAACTGTGCGAATACGAAGCAGCAGCCGTGATGAATAGCATAGTGCGCACGGAGGTGCAACCAAAGCCGGCTCAATTGGGTGGCATCGACATGAGGCAAGTTGCATAGCCAGCTTATGGGTACATTAATATTTATGTTGACTTGATTTCAGTGAGGTATACGGCTTTCTTGAGAATGCTCTAACTGGACAGATACAGAAGGGATTAGGCGAAGCTAGCGAAGCGTTTCTTGCACGGGAAATTGAGGTAAAAAACCCCTATGCACTATTGTATCATGTTAGTAATGCCTTGTTTGCAGCTCCTCATTGAAGAGGCCAACAATGATCATTCCGATAATGTTGTGCGGAGCATGGGACAGAAGCTGAACGATCGGCAGGAGTATAACTATGAGGCGGAGCCAAACAAATGCAGCTTGGATCCATTGTTTTTAGATGAATAGCTTAAGAATTGTACAAAAAATGATAGTCAAACACATTTATATCCACACATATTTATTAAACATTTAAATTCAATTGTTTGTCGAGTTAAATTGTACGCGTACATTTTGTCACAATCCTTAAAACTGTTAAAGTTGCTCAATCTCAATCTCAATCCTACTTAGGTGTATAGACTGCCTGCATCTTGTATATGTCTTTTCCCATAGTACGTATTTGTTAGATAATTAATACATACATACATAATTTAAGTACATTTCTATGTATAAATAGTTGTTAGCACATTTAAAATCTAAGTTAAGGGGCTTACGAAGTTTCACACAATTTACTTGAAGTAGTCTATATGAAAGAGTATGTATATATATAAGTATTTAAATTTGGCTTTAATTTATAATTTCATCTTCTTCGGTTTTATTATTTATTGTGCATGATTGTTTTCAAGAGTTGTTCTCGCAAGAGTAATGCCAAAATGTATTGCATAGTCTAAGTATAGAATAGAGTGTAGAGTATTGTTTAAAACGTTAACAGGCATAAAAAGAGTTGAGTGCTATTTGCATCTCTCATAGCATCACAAATAGATCACAAGAGACAGAGTTGATTTGATACGCCATTGGTTTTGGTTTTTACTTTTCTTCTTTTCTTTTACAATAGGTGTTACACATATATAAAAACTGAAGTGTTCATACATACATACAATCAGAGATACATACATATATAAATACTCATTTAATATTACAATTATTTAGTTTTGTTTTAGTTTTTTGTGTGTTTTTTTCTCTTTTGTTAATAATACAATATAATAATATAATTCTTAAATGTTCAGTCCAGTTTGAGCTTTTTGGTTTTCCCCTCTTTTATTTTTTGTTGTTTACATAAGTTTTAATTAAAATTAATTTAATCTATAATATATTTATACACTAGAAAATAATATCAGATATGCTTTGTTATAGAACCCCAAATAAATTGAATATAAATCATAGACAAAAATAATTTGATGCATGTTTGATTGTTTGCTGGAGTCATTTCATTAAATTTAACAAATTAACAAAAAACAACAACAACAACAACATAAACTTGTCATATATATATATATATTTTTTTTTTGACTCAACTTTCATACATAAAGTAAGAGCGTCAATAGAATTTTGATTGTCCCGTTCGTGTTGTTCTGCTGGATGACAGATCATATATACATATATATATGTATATACATATATATGCATATATATTTGCTAAAAAAAACTACTACAACAATGATAATTATTTGGTTTTTCAATATTGTGTTTAGAGTGCTTGTTCTTCAAATTATATATATATATATTTATTTATTTGTACATACATATATATACTATTACAAATTGACTTCCAGAATCCCATGTAATGCGAGCTAAAACTTATTTTCTTTTGGTAACATGTCTGTGTATTTACCTTAGTAGTAGTTTTCTAAACATTTTTTTAGGGTTAGATATGGATGATACTTGGTCTAGAAACATTGTCTAAAAGTTTGTTTTATGATCAACTGGTTAATGTATTCGTTATGCCATCAAAAATATGAACTTTAACAGAGCGATAATATGATATATCGATATATGTATATGTTAATAATTTTGTGCCATAGAGTTCTTTGGTATTATTTGCTCTTAAGTAGGTACGCTATAGGTACATGATTTCTTTTATATATGTAGGTAAATAGTAGTATATATATAAAAATGCAACTCTTTCAAATGCTATTCATGAAAAATAAAATGTTATTTGACCGAATAGATTTATAGTTGAATTAGTTGGGAAATGACGTTCCCGATATTCTAATTGAGTTCATATAGAAATGTGTTAGCCATGAGTAGATATGTATTTGTAATATGAACTTTAAATAAATCGAAAAATATTGGTATATGATTTTGTTTGTATATGATAATTATCTTTTATATTTATAGTTAGAGTATTAAGTAGTCGACATGTAGCTAGATTTTGATATATATTTTTGTAGCGTTCAGATTGATTGCATTTAGCGTTTGTGTTAGTTGTGTGTTGTTTTTGTATTTGTATTTGTATTTTATCTGTTGTTGTGTTTGTTGTTGTGATTTAGGGATTGTGTTCAACACATTTGTGGGTTCATCTAAATACACAAAAATTATTTAAATATGCTTTGTAGTTGTTTCTTGTTTGCTCTCTAATAACATTTAAATTCATTTCAAATATAGATAATTATGTATTCTTTTTTTTCTCTTTTTTTTTTTTTTTTTTTTTTGTGATTGACGTTCACAATGTTTGTTTATTGTGTAAATATTGTATACATATATAGCGCTAATATAAGTTGATTATTGGTGTTTCTAATGGACCGAAATTGCTTTAAAAATATATACTCAACATATATATTTAGATTAGGTAATTTTATTTCTTGTATCTTTTTAGTTACGTCCGGAGAATAGTTGATACTGTAATAAAGTTAATTAGGCCATCAATTTTAAGGTTTTCACACAATCTTCAATATAAACTATAGAGATGTTTCTACGATAACCAATGGAAGGAAATATTTTGGTTGGCTATTGCTCGATATCTACGAAATACGGTTGTGTTTTTACAGGATTAGCTGACATCGATACGAAAAAATTCATATATATGTAGATATTTAGGAATTCAGAATTATTTGGATGGAATAGAAAACTTGGCGGATACACACGATAAACATGTATATATCAATATATAATACTTAGCATAAAAAAGGACAACGACTAACGAATTTAGGATCTTTACTTGGCACTTGGTTGTTTTTTTAAGGATTTTTGTTTAAGGATTTTACTGGGAACAGAGTTCATGCACACATACGACTACGGAACGCAATGTTCTTTGGGTTTCGGGAGCTGCTTTGGATATATATATATATATATATAAATGTATATATATGTATGTAGACCGATTACAATTCAAAACTACACATCAAATATTTTAATATATGTTTAAATGTTTTATTTTTATAGGCTTCAATGTGTTTGGGTGGGAGGGCTTGAATGTTTGAGTGTGTGAGAGTCAGTCGTGAGTATATGTCAATGGAAAAATGGGGAGTGTAGTGTAGCATGAGTATGTGTGTCTAAAAAACCACTACTAAGGTACAATTGTTGGGTAGGAGACGGGCGTAGAGTGACTTGGTTTTGGATTTGGTTTGCTACCCTTGACTTATAGATTACTTAACATTTATTCATAAATAAATATATTCATATTCTTCCAATCATATATATATATATATATATATATATATATATATATATATGTTTATATATATATGTACATAGAGTTCTCGCACAGAATGCAAAAACGTTCAACTCTTAAGGCACATTTCGAAGTAGTTTAAATATATATCTTATACTGACAATAGATGTGTACAAAATAAACAGAAACAAAAGAAATCAATTCGAATAACCAAACAAACATACGAATGCACACAGAGAGAATGCGGGTTAGACTTGAATGGGGGAGTGGATGCTGCGGGGCTTCACAACAAATATCAAGCACAAAGGCAATCCAAGCAATATTCTAAGCATTAAGTATATATATAGTATATATACGATGGTTCACGACTAAAGTTACGAGTACAATAAATTCGCAAAGACTTAAATGTAAATTGAGTTCAGTTAGAAATACAAATGCATATCATATCATCGTTAGTCAGTTTATAAATTTAATTTTAATTTTAGTTTCAGCTAAGATGTTTAGTTTTTAAGTTTTAGTTATAGTTTAGCAGCGCCTCCAGCTTTGGCTATGCGCCTCCAGTGTCAGTCATTCAAAAACGAGTGTAGACAGTTCCAGTACTTAGATCTCATAATCTCTACTTCTATTCACATCGTTTCTCTTATTAACATTGCATTAGTTGTGTTTCCAAATATATACATACATATATATATAAACATATACATATACATATATACATATATGCTTATATATATACATATATATAAATATTCTTGTGCAAGATGGGCAGAAAGTAAAACGGCAAGTCAAGTTAAATAGTTTTTAGATATACAATAACAATTCATTTCAATTCATATATACAAATACGAGTATTACGAGTGCATTCAGACAATCACAATAGATGCATGAATATACATATATATATTCTTAACACCGAAACTGAGCATGCTTTGAGTATGTTGTTGAAGTCGTCTTAACAGGAACCCGTTCTTGGAATTGAATAATAGCCTTTCCAAGTTTACATATTTGGTGTGGCTAACACTACCACATGATACACTTTTATCACAGTGCTAAATATTCCCAATTTTGAGCATTTCCCTGAAAAATATAAGAACTCTCTTTGTGTAGTCTCAAGAATTTCATTGAGCCACACATTCATAACATATCATATATAAAATTCTTGAACATCTGTTAAGCTTTTCTGTTAAACTTTTCATCTTCCATTAAGTAAAATCTATAATGTATCATTTATATATATGTATTTATACAGTTTTTGTACCTTTGGAAAAATTAAAAATAAAATATTGAAATTCTCCTATTAAAATCTATCATATATCGTATATACATACATATATGTATTTGTCACACATACGCAAAGTATTAAGAATCTCCAGGCTGCTCTCTCTGTCTTAATAACATCTATCTATATAATTCTTGAACTTTAATCTATCACTTTGCTTCATTTCCAAGACGAAAGTTTCACTTACTAAATCGACTTCAATATGATTCGAGTTTCAAAACTCTTCGATATGCAATTTATCTACTTTAGATCTTAAAAAAAAAAAAAAAAAAAAACACATGCGATTTGAAGCAAACAAGTGAATTTGTTAATTAAATAAAAATATATATTTACATTCAATTATGGAGCATAACCATCCAAGTTATATAAAACCACTTTCTGGAGGGGCGAAGGAGAAATCAATCAAATGCTGCGATTGTCACAAATGTCAGCTTAAGCTTAGACTATGTCAACTTTTAGTGCATGTGCTTAACTAATTAGTTAGTCAGTTGGCCTAAGTACAATCTAGGTCTTAGTAACAATCGATTTGACGACAATGATAAGAAGTGGAAATAAAACTAACATCACGTTTCGAACATTAAAAACTACTTTA